ACTACGCACAGGTAATATCTCCTACACACAGGAAATATCTTCTACACATGGGTATTATCTCCTACACACATGGGTAATATCTCCTACACATGGGTTATATCTCCTACACACATGGGTAATATCTCCTACACACGGTTAATTTCTCCTACACACAGGTAATATCCCTACACACAGGTCATGTCTCCTACACAGGGGTAACATCTCCTACAAACAGGTAATATCTCCTATACACAGGTAATATCTCCTACACACATGGGTAATATCTCCTACACACAGGTAATATCTCCGACAAATGGGTAATATCTCCTACAAATGGGTAATATCTCCTACACACAGGTATCACAAGAGAGCTGTCAATCTGCAAGTAGCTTAACTTGTTCTCCCCTAACCAGCAGGAGCTGTATTCAGTAAGGTACTGTAGGTTAAGTCTTTATCTCAAACTTACAGGAGCTGTATTCAGTAAGGTACTGTAGGCTAAGTCTTTATCTCAAACTTACTGGAGCTGTATTTAGTAAGGTACCGTAGGCTAGGTCTTTATCTCAAACTTACAGGAGCTGTATTCAGTAAGGTACTGTAGGCTAGGTCTTTATCTCAAACTTACAGGAGCTCTATTCAGTAAGGTACTGTAGGCTAGGTCTTTATCTCAAACTTACAGGAGCTGTATTCAGTAAGGTACTGTAGGCTAGGTCTTTATCTCAAACTTACAGGAGCTGTATTCAGTAAGGTACTGTAGGCTAGGTCTTTATCTCAAACTTACAGGAGCTGTATTCAGTAAGGTACTGTAGGCTAGGTCTTTATCTCAAACTTACAGGAGCTGTATTCAGTAAGGTACTGTAGGCTAGGTCTTTATCTCAAACTTACAGGAGCTGTATTCAGTAAGGTACTGTAGGCTAGGTCTTTATCTCAAACTTACAGGAGCTGTATTCAGTAAGGTACTGTAGGCTAGGTCTTTATCTCAAACTTACAGGAGCTGTATTCAGTAAGGTACTGTAGGCTAGGTCTTTATCTCAAACTTACAGGAGCTGTATTCAGTAAGGTACTGTAGGCTAGGTCTTTATCTCAAACTTACAGGAGCTGTATTCAGTAAGGTACTGTAGGCTAGGTCTTTATCTCAAACTTACAGGAGCTGTATTCAGTAAGGTACTGTAGGCTAGGTCTTTATCTCAAACTTACAGGAGCTGTATTCAGTAAGGTACTGTAGGCTAGGTCTTTATCTCAAACTTACAGGAGCTGTATTCAGTAAGGTACTGTAGGCTAGGTCTTTATCTCAAACTTACAGGAGCTGTATTCAGTAAGGTACTGTAGGCTAGGTCTTTATCTCAAACTTACAGGAGCTGTATTCAGTAAGGTACTGTAGGCTAGGTCTTTATCTCAAACTTACAGGAGCTGTATTCAGTAAGGTACTGTAGGCTAGGTCTTTATCTCAAACTTACAGGAGCTGTATTCAGTAAGGTACTGTAGGCTAGGTCTTTATCTCAAACTTACAGGAGCTGTATTCAGTAAGGTACTGTAGGCTAGGTCTTTATCTCAAACTTACAGGAGCTGTATTCAGTAAGGTACTGTAGGCTAGGTCTTTATCTCAAACTTACAGGAGCTGTATTCAGTAAGGTACTGTAGGCTAGGTCTTTATCTCAAACTTACAGGAGCTGTATTCAGTAAGGTACTGTAGGCTAGGTCTTTATCTCAAACTTACAGGAGCTGTATTCAGTAAGGTACTGTAGGCTAGGTCTTTATCTCAAACTTACAGGAGCTGTATTCAGTAAGGTACTGTAGGCTAGGTCTTTATCTCAAACTTACAGGAGCTGTATTCAGTAAGGTACTGTAGGCTAGGTCTTTATCTCAAACTTACAGGAGCTGTATTCAGTAAGGTACTGTAGGCTAGGTCTTTATCTCAAACTTACAGGAGCTGTATTCAGTAAGGTACTGTAGGCTAGGTCTTTATCTCAAACTTACAGGAGCTGTATTCAGTAAGGTACTGTAGGCTAGGTCTTTATCTCAAACTTACAGGAGCTGTATTCAGTAAGGTACTGTAGGCTAGGTCTTTATCTCAAACTTACAGGAGCTGTATTCAGTAAGGTACTGTAGGCTAGGTCTTTATCTCAAACTTACAGGAGCTGTATTCAGTAAGGTACTGTAGGCTAGGTCTTTATCTCAAACTTACAGGAGCTGTATTCAGTAAGGTACTGTAGGCTAGGTCTTTATCTCAAACTTACAGGAGCTGTATTCAGTAAGGTACTGTAGGCTAGGTCTTTATCTCAAACTTACAGGAGCTGTATTCAGTAAGGTACTGTAGGCTAGGTCTTTATCTCAAACTTACAGGAGCTGTATTCAGTAAGGTACTGTAGGCTAGGTCTTTATCTCAAACTTACAGGAGCTGTATTCAGTAAGGTACTGTAGGCTAGGTCTTTATCTCAAACTTACAGGAGCTGTATTCAGTAAGGTACTGTAGGCTAGGTCTTTATCTCAAACTTACAGGAGCTGTATTCAGTAAGGTACTGTAGGCTAGGTCTTTATCTCAAACTTACAGGAGCTGTATTCAGTAAGGTACTGTAGGCTAGGTCTTTATCTCAAACTTACAGGAGCTGTATTCAGTAAGGTACTGTAGGCTAGGTCTTTATCTCAAACTTACAGGAGCTGTATTCAGTAAGGTACTGTAGGCTAGGTCTTTATCTCAAACTTACAGGAGCTGTATTCAGTAAGGTACTGTAGGCTAGGTCTTTATCTCAAACTTACAGGAGCTGTATTCAGTAAGGTACTGTAGGCTAGGTCTTTATCTCAAACTTACAGGAGCTGTATTCAGTAAGGTACCATAGGCTACGTCTTTATCTCAAACTTACAGGAGCTGTATTCATTATGGTTCTGTAGGTTACGTCTTTATCTCAAACTTACAGGAGCTGTTTACAACGAGAAACAGCAGGTTAAGTCTTTATCTCAAGCTTACAGGGGCTGTTTACAATGAGAAACAGCAGGTTAAGTCTTTATCTCAAACTTACAGGGGATGTTTACAACGAGAAACAGCAGGTTAAGTCTTTATCTCAAACTTACAGGGGCTGTTTACAATAAGAAACAGCAGGGTAAGTCTTTATCTCAAACTTACAAAAGCTGTTTACAATGAGAACCAGCAGGTTAAGTCTTAATCTCAAACTTACAGGGGCTGTTTACAATGAGAAACAGCAGGACAGCAGGTTAAGTCTTTATCTCATACTTACTGGAGCTGTTTACAACGAGATATAGCAGGTTCAATTTTATTCTCAAACTGACAAGAGTTTTATGTATTGAAAGTTGTGTTACTTAAAACATACTTCTTCATAGCCATATTACTTAAAAGGTATTACTATAACTATGGGGAGTGGGAAAAGAAAGACAGGAACATTTTAGGAACATATGCTGCCATCTTTACATGAGAATGTAATTTTCGCACTTCAGTAAATACCTAGGCTTTTAGCAAATAATTACAATGAGATTCTAAAAAGAAATGATGAGATATACAGATGTTAGTATTGGTCTCCAGAAGTGAGACTGCTCATGTGAAATATTAAAAATCATTATAAATAAATAGTCTGATATGATTTTATTTTGATCTTTAAAGTATGGCCAGCATTGCTTTCGTTTTATTTACCATGATCAAGTTTTGAGGCCTTACAGATCTGTTTATAGGAAATTATATAGTTTTCCTTCAAGTAAATGTTATAAAAATGTAATGTCTTTTTAATTAAGGAATAAAACAAATGCCAGTACATGTATTACCAATGACCTAGTAATGATACTGAATTATTACGATGTTTTTTGTTGTTGTACATGTATTACCAATGACCTAGTAATGATACTGAATTATTACGATGTTTTTTGTTGTTGTACATGTATTACCAATGACCTAGTAATGATACTGAATTATTACGATGTTTTTTGTTGTTGTACATGTATTACCAATGACCTAGTAATGATACTGAATTATTACGATGTTTTTTGTTGTTGTACATGTATTACCAATGACCTAGTAATGATACTGAATTATTACGATGTTTTTTGTTGTTGTACATGTATTACCAATGACCTAGTAATGATACTGAATTATTACGATGTTTTTTGTTGTTGTACATGTATTACCAATGACCTAGTAATGATACTGAATTATTACGATGTTTTTTGTTGTTGTACATGTATTACCAATGACCTAGTTATGATACTGAATTATTACGATGTTTTTTGTTGTTGTACATGTATTACCAATGACCTAGTAATGATACTGAATTATTACGATGTTTTTTGTTGTTGTACATGTATTACCAATGACCTAGTAATGATACTGAATTATTACGATGTTTTTTGTTGTTGTACATGTATTACCAATGACCTAGTAATGATACTGAATTATTACGATGTTTTTTGTTGTTGTACATGTATTACCAATGACCTAGTAATGATACTGAATTATTACGATGTTTTTTGTTGTTGTACATGTATTACCAATGACCTAGTAATGATACTGAATTATTACGATGTTTTTTGTTGTTGTACATGTATTACCAATGACCTAGTAATGATACTGAATTATTACGATGTTTTTTGTTGTTGTACATGTATTACCAATGACCTAGTAATGATACTGAATTATTACGATGTTTTTTGTTGTTGTACATGTATTACCAATGACCTAGTAATGATACTGAATTATTACGATGTTTTTTGTTGTTGTACATGTATTACCAATGACCTAGTTATGATACTGAATTATTACGATGTTTTTTGTTGTTGTACATGTATTACCAATGACCTAGTTATGATACTGAATTATTACGATGTTTTTTGTTGTTGTACATGTATTACCAATGACCTAGTTATGATACTGAATTATTACGATGTTTTTTGTTGTTGTACATGTATTACCAATGACCTAGTTATGATACTGAATTATTACGATGTTTTTTGTTGTTGTACATGTATTACCAATGACCTAGTAATGATACTGAATTATTACGATGTTTTTTGTTGTTGTACAGGTGTTACGTGAAAAGTTTGGTGTGCATTGTTTCCTTGGTCTGACAGCTACTGCGACACTGTCAACTGCCAGTGATGTTGCCAAACACATCGGCATTGTGGATTGTGACGAGGCCGTTATCCGGGGCCCACCTGTCCCGCGGAACCTGTTCCTGTCTGTGTCCCGTGACGAGGATAGAGACCAGGTATGACTAGCTTTACACATAAAAAATCCTCCATTAGCACTTGATGTAAGGTTGTCACCTCATCCTGAAAACAACATTAACACAAAGTATAATGGAGGTCAAAGTAAAGGTCCTACATGTTTCATTATATAATGGAATTGCGGCCTAAAAGTAGTTTTCACAAGTCAATAAAAGTCAGCCCTAAAACTATACATGCCACAGTCCTCCGAAACAGCGGGCACAGATAGAACGTTGTCGGTTCCTATCTAAAAATCCAACAAGCGTTTTCAACTCTGACCTACTTTGGCACCAACCTGAAATTTATCCACAAAGCCGCTGCTTCAAGTTTGATCAAGTTTACATTGTGTGTAAATGTTATTTCCAGGCGCTGATAGGAATGCTACAAGGGAAGAGATTTGCTGAGTGCGAGTCTATCATCGTCTACTGTACTCGACGTGAACAGACTGAACGAATCGCCACACTCATCAGGACCTGTCTGAAGGAGGAAAAGTCACAAGACTGGGATGATGGTCTCGGTAAAAAGAAAGGTGAGTGTTATCATGGACGATAACCATGACATAAGAAAGGTGAATAAGGAATACCTGGAGACTCCGAGAAGTTGAGTACCCCTCCTTACTCAAGCAGATCCCTTGGTACATGTCCTTTATTAGCGCACCTGGCCCGAAGGTCCAAGTGAGCTTATGCCATGGTGCAGCGTCCGGCCGGCGTCCACTTTTTACTTTAAACAGCTTCTTCTCAATAATCAAGTGGCCTAAGGTGATGGTATTGCTGCGAGGAAGGACCACCAAGTTTGTTCAAATGAATGACCTTCGCCCATTTTCAAGGTCACTGGGGTCAACTATGTTAAAATCTTTAAACAACTTCTTCTGAAAAACCAGAAGGCCTAGGATGATGATATTTGGCCATTCACATACTGGCATAAAGGGCTACCAAGTTTGTTCAAATTAATGACCTTGACCTATATTCAAGGTCATGAGGGTCAATTATCTTAAAATAAAATAAAATCAACTTCTTCTGAATAACCAAAAGGCCCAGGGTGATGGTATTAGGCAAGTAGCAAATGAATGACCTTGACATATATTCAAGGTCACAGGGCCAAATATGTTAAAATCTTCAAACAACTTCTTCTGAATAACCAAAAGACCCAGGATTATGATATTTGGTCAGTAGAATCCGGGGATTAAGGGCTACCAAATTTGTTCAAATGAATGACCTTTGCCCATTTTCAACGTCACAGGGGTCAATTGTCTTTAAAACATTTAAGTGACTTCTGAATATTTGGCTAGAAGCATGCTGGGATGAAGGGCTACCAAGTTGTTTAAATGAATGACCTTCGCCCATTTTCAACATCACAGGGGTCAAATTTGTTGAAATCTTTAAATGACTTCTAAATAACAAAAACTTCCAGGGTGATAGGTTAATTGTTCCTATATATAACCTCGACACACTTTCAAGGTAACATCTGGTAATTTGTGCATAAATATTTAAAAGTAATTTTCTCAATAAACAAATAGTTTAGGGTGGTAATAGTTAGCAATTTGCATTCTAGGATGAGGGCTATACAGTTTGTTCAACTTCATGTCCATGTTTGACTTTCAATGTTACAGGGGTCAAATAAGTATAAATTGTTTAACAGGTTCTTTTTTGAATGACTTTTAGACAAGACACTGATATTTTGCCTGTAGCTTTATTTAAGTTTACTTTTAAGGTAACAATTGTGAGATTATTACCAGGTGAGCATTGCAGGCCCATTGGGCCTCTTGTTATTGTTCCCCTTGGCACTCAATCACCTGGGTGATTGAAATATTTTCTTGGACCCAGCGTGTGGGAAGTAAATTGGTTGGACTGTATCTCAAGCCGTACCCTCGTAGGGATTATGGGAGGTGCTCAAACAATGACCATGCATTTCTGAGGGATGCTTACATGACAGTTGTTCATATATTATAAAATAAGGAAAAGAAATAGACTTTCAAACATCTGGCCAAAAGCACAAAATGGTTTGTTTATCATGCATATAACTGTTTAGAAAATTTTAATAAATCCCTAATATGTTATTGCCACTGATTGTTACCTCAGCAGGATAATTCCTTCTCTTTCAGGTGGAAGAAAAAAATATGCTTTCTGGGATGCCGAGAGTTACCATGCCGGTTTAACGCCAGCTCTGCGAAAACGGGTCCAAACCGCTTTCATGTCAGGACGACTGAGGGTTGTTGTAGCAACGGTGGCCTTTGGGATGGGCCTGGATAAGTCAAATGTCCGAGGAATCGTCCACTACAATCTCCCAAAAAGTTTTGAGAGCTACGTTCAGGAGATCGGACGAGCGGGAAGGGACGGTAGAGACTCGCACTGTCACCTGTTTCTCGATTCAGAGGTAGGTGATATTTCCTCACTTTTTAGATTAATTATGTGCTAGATAAATTATTTTCTTTAAAAAATTCTATGGTGATAAACATTACCACCACAGGTGTTGCCATGGGTACGTTGTTGTTGCCATGGACACGTTAAGGGAATACAAAGGGAATGGAGTTTTACCCTTAAAAATTACAAGTTGACCGAACTTTGAACAACTAAGCACTGACGGTTCACTTGCTGACATGTTCTCAACATTCCGTCGTAAGGGCAATTTCTTTTAGGAAGATAGAGATTCCTTGGACTTTGAGAGAAGTTAGTTTAGAGAGGTAAGTTTTTGGAATACAGGAGAGAGGTAAGTTTTTGGGATACAGGAGAGAGGTAAGTTTTCGGGACAGATAACCCTACAAAATTGTTGATACAGCATCAGCTGTTACATTTCCTGTAAACAAAGTGACCACTTTTGCTGTATTTTACTACCCTACCAGTAATTGTATGGTTATTTTTACCTGTACCGCGCTTGTGTTTTGTACTCCATTGGGGGGGGGGGGGGGGGGCTTTATGTGAAAAAAGGTCAAAAGCAAAAGATGGTAGGAAAGTTGTCTAGTTGATTTATAATTAATGTGAAATAAATATTGTTGAAGTATTGCATTTGAAGTTAATTTGATTTGACTTGATATTACATGATGAAATGGACTGTATCAGGAAGATTGTGCGCCGTTATGTTTGTATCTCTCCGATCTGTTCTAGGCTGTCTCCTCATGCTGTAGCGTTACAGATATTATAACTGATCAACGTGACCTAATACTTTCACACTTTTACACCTCGTCCATTTACAGTCATTTATATAAAGCATTCATTTTCAGACCCTGTTACACATCAACCACTTTATGGTAACTTGAGTAATAATAAATGTGTTACTGATGCAGCGTGTATCAGCATCATCCATAGTTCTGTTTCTGTTGCTGACATAAACATGCTCCATCTCATGTGATGGCTCACGGAGTGCTTACTCTGCAGTGATAATTGACCCAGAATGTGACTGCTGACCATGAGGTCATGTTAACTGTCGTGTGACTGCTGACCCAAAAGGTCACGCTCACTGTCGTGTGACTGCTGACCCAGAGGTCACGCTCACTGTCATGTGACTGCTGACCTAGAGGTCATGGTCACCCTGGTGTGCCTGCTGACCCAGAGGTCATGCTCACTGTCGTGTGACTGCTGACCCAGAGGTCAAGCTCGAGCTCACGGTCATGTGACTGCTGACCCAGAGGTCATGTTCACATTAGTATTTGCTGAATGGCATTGTAAAGATAATGAAGTAGTAGACCCTAACCAGATCATTAACAGGCTGGACAGGAGTTGTGACTGTAGATAATAATCCCTCTACAAAACTCAGTGTGGCTGCAAATCTGGAACATAAGGAAGGAAATCAAAAGGATGTTGTGTATGTGACATCATCCTTGTATTTTATGGGTAAACGTGGATTTTATCACAGTTTTCACCATGGGCTATAAGTGGACTGACTGTTAAAATGTGCAATATATAATATTTCATGCAGGAGCCAATCTTGTCTCATTTACTTCTTTAAATTTTACCAGGTTTAAGATACTGTAAATGATTTATTTTACTTGAATTAACTTTAAGGTAAAATCTAGTGCTGTGAAGAAGTTAAAGGAACATGACTTTTCCCCACACATATCTTAATAGCACAATGTTGGACTCCCCATCCAGGCTCTGTTACCTCCCAATACAGTGATGTACAGCCATCTTTGGCAAATGGCTTAAAAATGTCAACGTGATTTTGTGAGCTATGTGTTTGTTTATCCCAATTGATGGCTGCAATGCATCATATCAGTCTGGAACATGTACGGGAGATGCATTACACCATCAGTATAACTGACATTTACATTCAATATGCTCACAAGTCTCCTTATACAAACTTACCGACTGATAAGCTGGTACTATCAATAATTTAGGCTCCCATCTTATCAGTCTTCCAATGGAACTGTTGAAACATGACATTATCTCTGTTGTTACATTGAGTGTGTACACTTCAAGGGTCTTCAAATTTACAATATCTAAACGTAAAGTGGTTCATAGAATATTGATGTTCCGCATGGTAGTTAAGACCAGTAGTTGTGTTGTGTTATAAACTTCCCCTCTAGGTTTTGTTCTATCGGGACCTACCGACACACTGGAGTGCTTGACTTGTCTGTGTGGTATGTCCCAGTCTGAGTCACATGCCAAGGATACAAAATGGCCACCAAGGGAATCAAGTGGTTTCAGCCAAGAATAAAATAGTTATGAGGTATCAAATGGTAAAACTATAAACACTATACTAATTGCTCTCAAAACTGCTTTTCGGCCTTTTTTTTTTGCCAATAGCACATATCAAATGGTGCCAACGTCATCTTAACGCTTCTGTAGTTATTCTTATAAACAACCCAAGACAACACCTAATCAATACAGTCATCCTGATAAACACCTCAAACCAACACCAACCAACTACTACCGTGAGGAATTATCACAGATCTTCGTAGAATAACGATGTACATAGAAAAAAGTTTGATTTTGTCAAACGTGGAAGACTGGCAGAATGTACTTAAAACATATGCAGCTTTTCTTAGTATTTTTGTCTCGCCGCCACGAAGTGGAAGCGAGAATTAGGTGTTGCTTTTCTGGCGACGAAGCGAGAATTAGGTGTTGCTTTTCTGGCGACGGCGGCAACGAAACTCGGACCAATGATGCATCTTGGGTAGTACATCTCAACCCATGCATCAAATGCTGGATGCAGCATACCTTTCATGGTCCATTGACTTTGTCAGCATCTCCATCAACATTAAGTTTTTGTGTTTAAGTTTGTTTTTCTGAAAGTTTAAGTGCTACACCAACCAAACTTGCACCATACATGCATCTTAGGTAGTACTTCTCAACCCATGCATCAAATGCGAAATGCGGCCTACCTTTCATGGTCCATTGACTTTGTCAGTATCTCCATCAACATGAAGTTTTTGCGTTTAACTGAGTTTCTCTTATATGTCTGATGGTCAAAGCGGGGCATAGATGGGACAATACGAATGGCTTGTATATGGAGCTAAGTTTGCACAGCAGAGGTAGACAACCTGCCCTGGCTTCAGGACCTTACCAACAAATTGTGCTATCACCTTGCATGCCCTGCAAGTCATGTAGGGGACATAAATGCCATTATTAGTTAGCCTGAGTGGGAGTTGTAAAGGGGAGGATTCCAACGTTAGTTTAGTGCAGGCAAATTCGCCATGCACCCAAATTCGCCACCCTGTGACGAAAATGCCATATGACGTCATAATACATAAGATGTGACGTAAATAACGTCACCATAGTCTTCAAAACAATTAAAGCCTTCAAATATTTCGACAAGAAGAGGTATAAGAAGGGAAAAGCTATACTTTTGATCAAAACAGTTATGAAATATCTTGTAACACAACAAATCTTAAAAATGTGGTCTGTGCGACGGACATCTTGTCAACTAAACTCATTAATCTTAGGCCAGTTGGTTGTTGTTTAGTGTAAATTTATTACATACACATGAAAATACCCATATCTTAAAGCTAATTGCAGTTAATGCAAGTACATTGTTTTTCTACAAGTGTACTTTGGTACATGTACAATGCACTGACGATCCACTGCGTGTTTATGGAAATGACGATCGGAAAGATCTGCGATTTGATAATTCGTCAGTTTCCAATTTTCATGCAATGTGTATTTAGAATACAATCAACCAGCATCTGTTTAAAAGTATTGTTTGCATCTCACGTCCAACAATCTTACAACACTTAAATTAAAATACCATCTAGAAATGTTCTAGATTTATATCTAAAAGGAATTTGTTGTCGGCCTGAAAGTGCTGCTGTACAATTGCATGCTGATTGTACGTAGAGACCGACAGTTACCAAAGACTGATTTTTACATGAAAAAGTAAGTACATTTACAACACATGGCCAGGCAGTATTTGTTGAATAAGTTTTCAAGCCGAAGTAAATCGTTTTAATTTGTCAGATGTTTCCCGTTGACGTGCAAGACTATCGAAGACGTACATGTGACAAATAATCCAAAAAGTTGGGTTGGGGAGGGGGATCGTTGAATGCCCTCTCTCATCCTGACCCGATGAAAAATCTAATATTGGGGAGCGATTTGGAAGTTTATATTTGTTAAGGACCGAGTCTTTATTGCGTATCATGTAAATTGACATCACCTCAGCCAATACCCGTCATCTTTCTCAAACAACATTAATCAGTTTCTTCAAGTTACCGAAAACTAACTATCACAACTAAGAAAAGCCATGTATTTCAATGTTAATCATTGTTACACACACACATTTGGAGCTGTTCGTATCAGTACAGCTTGTGTAACATAAACATACAAAATTTAACATTTAAACACTTAGATTACTTGTAAATTAGTTAAATGTTTGAAGGTGGCGAAAATGCCTGCACCTTCAAGCAAAACCATGGAAGGCCTGATTACGTCACAAATGTTGCTGCGTGACGTCATTCAGGTGTGTTTACAGCAATGTTTATTTATAGGCATTTAAGTCGAATCTTCTTCTGTATTGGTGCTCGTCGGCATTTTGATACATGCCTATTTGGTTGAATTATTAACAGTAACCCTTACTTAATATGTGACGAATTTGCCTTCACTGACGTCAGTGTCTGACAAAAAGGGAATTCCAGAATTGGACACATCAAATCCCCTTCTATTCCCTCCTTAAGATGTGTCTCTGTAACAGCACTGCTATGGCAGACAATGAGGCAGTGGTGGCCAATGGTGAAGGCATCTGCCTATGATCACTAGCCCTCCACCACTGGGTCACAGGTTTGAGGCCTTCATGGGGCAGTCCCCAGGTACAGACTTCAGGTTGTTGATTCTTCTCCTGGTTCTCCAGCTTTCACCAATCACCAACACCTGGTATGTCCTTAAATAACCATAGCTGTTAATAGGATGTTAAACACAAACTAAACGTACCAAACCTATAGCAGACAC